TATCATTAATTAATTACATGGAGAGGATCAACAGGCATTTTGCCATAGTGATTACCATTGCACAACAGTTCTAAAATGGTGCCTAAAAAGAAACTTTCTCCATAACCTATTTTCCCATTGATTTTCATTAGGCAAGACATCCCCTCTGCAAAAGTAAGTGTGACCCCAAACATATTAAATAATAATTAGCATGACAAATATTTTGAAAATTTTTATATACAGAAAAAAGCTGTAACAAAGCAATGATAATCAAAAGTAACACAAAATTAGAGGTAGTTGACAATGTTTTCTGAATAAATTGTGTGTTCTAAGGATGTGACTAGGAACAGAGTAGCCACTTGCATTTTCAAAGTACATTTTTGTCTGGATTTCAAATACAGTTTCATTTTAAATTTTGGCTAATATTATGATCACAGAATTTGGATAATATTACAGATAGAAGAAAACACTGCTTTGTATCTTTGTAACCTTTACAATTCATGAACTAACATATTTTAAAAAGCTGTCAGTTTATTCTCGACATATTTAAAATACTGAAGTCTCTCCTGTTCCAATTAATGAAGGAAAACTCTTCTTTTTTGCTTCAGTGCCTGGCACTGAAGTGCCTACTTAATAAACATTTGATGAGTAAATGAATGATTTTGACAGTGGCCAAGTGCTTGCAGCAAAAATGAGGTAATGCAGTACATTGCAAAGAGCAATGTGAGGAAGCAGATCTGGGTTCTTGTCCCAGTTCTGTCACAAACTAGCTGTGTAACTTTAGGTAAGGAACTTGACCTCTCTGGGCCTTGGCTTCCTCCATGCAGATCTAGATGCTGGGTATGATCTCCAGTGGCCTCTAGTTCTAAAAGGCTACAGTTCTAAATCTTAAAATTAGCCAATCATTCTTGCCAGTGTCACTTTGAACTTTAGCCTTTAGTCTCCACAGAGATAGACACATTTTAGCATAGTAGCCTCTAGAATGAAATCTATTAAGAGGTTCAATATGCTAAGGCAAGCAATGGAAAGATACAGTGCTTCAATGGTTCACCCAAAGAGGACTCGAGTAAGTATAGAAATGTACAAGAGAAATAGAAGGGAAACCTGGGGGAAAAAAAGTCTCCATAGCTCAGATTAGTGAAATCTCCAGATAGCAGGTTTCCTCTAGAGGTCAAAAGTGAGTAGGTTTTATTTATGACTGATTAACAAGTGATGAATTTATAAAAAGCTTCCCTTCCAAAGAGAGCACCAGGATGCTTTATTTCCTAATTGGAGAGTACTTTGCACATAAATAAAGGAGGATCACTGCTGCCTGTCAGGGAAGCACTTTGACAGGGCAAGCTTGATCTTGTCTGTGTCCTGATTTACTATATGACCTTGGGCAAGTCATTCATCTTCCCCCAACCAGTATCCCTAATTGTAAAGCGGAAATAAAAATACTCATTGCCTTCACTGAGGATTTATAAGACAAGATGAATATTTTTAAGCCCCCAGAGGGGAAAAGGTCACATATAAGAAGGCAAAGAACGACAGAACAGTGCTGTTGGACTTTTCATACAGCTTGGGAAAGAAAACACAATAAAACTCCTGAGCTTTAGGCCGGCCACGGTGGTTCTTGCCTGTTATCCCAGCACTTTGGGAGGCCGAGGTGGGCGGATCACCTGAGGTCAGGAGATCCAGACCAGCCTGGATAACATGACGAAACCCCGTTTCTACTAAAATTACAAAAATTAGCCGGGCGTGGTGGCAGGCGCCTGTAGTCCCAGCTACTCAGGTGGCTGAGGCAGGAGAATCACTTGAACCCAGGAGGCGAAGGTTGCAGTGAGCCGAGATCACGCCACTGCACTCCAGCCTGGGCGACAAAGAGAGACTCTGTTAAAGAAAAAAAAAGAGAGAGAGTGAGAGAGCGAGAGAGAGAGAGAGTGAGAAAGAAAGAAAGAAAAAAAGACAAAAAAACTCTTGAGCTTTAAGTTTTCCAGTCCAAAACCAAACAAAAACCCACAAACAAACAAACACAAACAAACAAAAAACCTCACCTCTTACAACCTGCGCATTTTTTACCCTCACATGTTGCACAGCACAGCACAGGCGGGGGACTGTGATTCGAAGGTGAGTAGTTGGACGGCTGAAGGCTGATACTAAATTTATCCCCCCACAATTCGAACCCCTTGCTCCATCGGGAACAGTGAGATCGTGGGCGAATTAGGTTTGAGGTCTCAATTTCTTCTTCTGTAAGATATGGCATATTACTATTTACCACACGTGTATAGATCTGTGAATAGATGCCTGGCATAGAGTAACTTTCCAAAGAATATTTGCTGATAATTTCTGTTTCTTAGCAGCATCATCCAAACTGCTGAAATATTTTCTTTAAAAAAAATCAAAGATCCTTGTGAGTTAGTATTGGAATATAAAGATAAACGTGACAAAAACGTCTGTACTTAAAAGGGGAATCGGTATAAAGTCACAAAGTCCACTTCCTTCCGGTGAATAGAATGAGTTTGGGGACAGGGACAACGCCTTAAAACGGGGCCGCGCGGACGCCAGGGGGCACTGTGAGTCCGCTTTGGAGAGGAAGAGGCGGCGGCCTGCGCGGGGCGGGGAGGGCTGCGCCTTTCTAGCATCCCAGCGCCCAGGAGCTTCGCCACCTACCAGGGTCCGCGACCTTAACTCGGCTCCGGAAAGGGCGTCCTGGGTGACCCAAGGCTGGGGCCACAAGCAGCTCCACGACTCTCCGCGTTGGTCTCTCCCCTTCTCCCAAGCAGACAGTCCTTTCTGCCAGCTGTTCTTGAGATTCGTGAGTCCCGGGGTTTGGGAAACCAGAACCCCCCTGCAACTGTAGGGAACGTTTTGGGTGCGCCTAGGTCGGGTATTTTCCTGGGCAAAAGGACAGAAGTTGTCATCTGATTGTTTAAAGGGTTCGTGTCCCAAGAGGGGGTTAAGCTCTCTTGGTTTAGGGTAAGAGGGCCCACCCTACCTCCCACCCAAAGGCCAAACACACAGTAGGTCGGGAAACGACTCTGAAATCACTCCTTGTCCACTTCCCAAGGTCGGGCGAGAGACTGGCACGCCCCTCCGGCAATCTTCAGGAAAAGGGTCAGATCCAGTCCTTAAACAGCTCAGGTGCGAAGCTGAATCGCCCTTCTGCGGAAAGAGAGGAGACAGTACCTGCCCCCGCGGTCCCTCACTTCCCTTAGTCTCAAGAAGAGGTCAGACACCGGAAAATGGGGCCCAGGCACTTGGTCTATTCCACCTGCCACTCGAGTCCCCACTCCCAAGCGGTTGCTCAGACATTGGCATGATGGGGAAACTCGGTTGATTTTGTTACCTCCTAGAGGGAAAATGCCGTGGGCGGAGATGTCTGAGCGTCCCTTCCAACACGAGCTGGGTGGTGCTCTATTGATTTTCACGCAATCCACGGGCGGGAGCGAGAGCACAGGCTCGGATTCACGGGCTCCAGGACTGAACGCATGGCAGTGTCCCTGGGAGCAAAACCACCTAGGGAGCCCGTGCAATATACAAGGTGGGGGGCCCGGAGAGAAAGCATAGCGCCGACAAGGGTGAGGGGCCAGGCAGAAAGTAGGGTGGGGTACCGGGTGGGACAGACCGACCTAGAGAAAGTACAACCCACCCCAAACTTTCGCAGACCCGGGAGCTTACAAAGGGAGAGCCAGGCAGCACAGCACCCTCTCCTGCCGCCCAATGTGCCCAGCTGCAGCGAGGAGGGGCTGCGCT